GCTGACGGCGGCGGCGGAGGCGCCGCCGCCGCCGCCGCCGCCGCGCCGTCTGGTACCCGCCGCGCGTCTTCTTCCTCTTATGCCGCATTACTTTCCACGCCGTACACCATTCCAATGTCGAGTTTAGGTTCGGAGGGGCCCCTTGTTGGGGAGATGCCCGCTCGGGCTCAGTCAGTGCCGTACCTTGGCTGTTCCGCCGCCGCCGCCGCCGCCGCCGCCGCCGCAGGGACGGTGGCGGCAGGTGGAGGGGGGGCTTCCCCATGTGGGAGCCACAGCCCCGTGAATACGATGTACGACAGCAGAGGGCACGGTGCGTGCTGGGTTTTGAAGCCGCGCAGGGCGGGCGGCCCCGGGCTGAGTGCGGTGCTCGGAAAGGGGGGAAAAGGATTGGGGGCCGCCTCCGGGGGATGGCACTGGTTTGCCACTTCGGCACCGGCCTGGGGGACGGTGGAGCTCCCGCGGGGGGCGCTCCGCTGCGGCGGGGGCTTTTGGTGGCGGTGTGGGTACGTATTCGCCCCACTGGTCTGCATCTGCTCTCGGGTGTTTGCTGTGTCAGCTACTTCAGGGGGTTAAGGGATGGGGAGTGCCTGGTAGGGCCTGTTTAGGCAATGGATAGATAGCGGCGAAAAAAGGAGAAGGTGCGCTACAGGTCGACAAAAACACCAACAGCGTCCCCAGTCGATGGCATGCCGCTGCTGCCATGCCGCCGCTGCGCGCCGCGGCCGCCTGCCCGTGACAACATCGTCACCTCCGGCAGCACATCTGCACGACATTAATTACTATCCGCTGCTGACGTAGGTACGGGGGGCCCTGCCGGGGAGCGGTCAAGGCTGCGACTTGGCGGCGGCGGTAGTCGGTGGGCTGGAGGCGGCGGCGGCGGCGGCAGCAGCGCGGCGGCTGCTACTGCCCGCAGCGACGATTCGGAAGGAGGCCCCGACAGGCCTCGGAATGACGGCGCCGCCGCCGCCGCCGCCTCCCCACCCTCAGGCGGCGGTGGCGGTGGCGGCGGGGGATATCGCGCCAGCGGATCTGTTTGAACGTGTGTGTTTCGGCCGCCTTGCGCAGCCCCATGGTGTCATCCTGGGGGAGGAGAAGGGCGAGGGCCGAAGAGGCGAGGTGGGGAACCCAGCGGGGGTGGCAAATATCTTGACGCCATCTACGCCGTTAGTAGGGGGAGCGGAGGAGGGGGGGCGGGAGGGACCCGCAGGCTCTTCGTGCAGTGTTGGTGGCCGGAGCAGCAGCTGCACCTGCCCCCCTTCGAGCTGTCGGTTGTCCCGACCTAGCCCTGAAGCCGGTCCGGGGCCCCGAGCCGACCAGGGGGGGGG